TGAATAGGGAGAGTCCACAGAGCATCCCAAAGAGGAAGTATCTATTCTTAAATTTAGGCTGCCAAAGTGGAATATTTAGATTAGTAAAGAAGAAAATATAGTTCCCTTTTTCAAAATTATAAGCTAGGAAAAATCAGGCTTCAGGGAAATAACCTTTTTTCACAGGTTATAAAACTACTTTTTTCCAATTTCTTCTATATAGAGATCTTATCTCAAAAAAACAAATCAAAAACAACACCTCCACTATCAACAAACAAATAAAAAACATTAAGAGTGAATCCTCAACTCAAATAAAGTCAGAAGTGGTCACATTTCACAACAAAATAAAAGGCAGAGTTGATGCTATCAACAAGTTATACAGCAGCTCTGATGTTACTTGAAACACAAAGCATTGGCCAATGGTTGTGTTTTACTTAATCCTAAACAAGTCAAGGTACAAATAGTTTCATAGTTCACACACTTAAAAAAAAACACAAAATATCATAGAGAAATTTTCATAGAGGACTGGGACTGGAATTGAGAAATGATCAATTACAACAGAGGAAGAATAGTACGCATTTGCCCAAAGAATTTACAAAAGAATTCTGGAGCAGAATGGTGAACACACAGTTGAAATATCACAAGAACCTGAGAAATAAGAGGTGTGATAATTCAAGATTATGTCTGTGGTAAAGTTTTATCTGTATTTTCACTGTAGTTTACATTAGAATTTTTTACATTTTGTAAGCAGATAAACAGTTGATAATGAAAATATTTATGTAGATTTTAAACTCATTTCATATTAAAAATTTAATATTTTATTGTATGCATTGTCAAATAAAACACAAAATTAAAACAAATAATTCAGTTATAGAAATACTCTTAAAAATAAGAGGGTGACATATACTTCTTGCAATGCTCCTTTTCAAAATTTTACCTTGATATGAGTTTTCTTTTTAAATTTTAAGATAGAAAAAGAATACAGAATTTCAAAACAAGATGGTAGGAAATTAATAATGGTTATTATATTGCATACCATTATCTTCAAAGTAGTTGCTCAGGTTGTAAGATATGGGCATGACAACATTTTGGCACTAACCTTCTAAGGTCAATTAAGACTCAGGACATATGAGAACTTGTACTGTTACGTCATGTACCTCGGTAGTGTCCCACATTTTCTGATCAAGGAGATTATGGGGCCAAAGAGGAAA